TTTCTGAAGAAGGGTCTAGGCCCGAAACGTCAGCCTTCCTGCTCGACCTGCTATGTTCATCCAGCTCTACACCTTGTTATCTCAGGTTCTCCAGCATCTGCAGTTCCTACTATCTCTGATAAGGCAGGTACCCTGTCTGCCCTGGCTGGAATGGGAATCAAATATGAAATACTGGTGTTATTCTAAACAACACACCAACCAAACCAGCCTCACGCTCTGAAAAATATCCTTGCTAAGTATCTACGCAAGTTCTTTTTATTTCAAAAGTAAAAGATTATATAATAAAGTGTTCTACTATTACTTAGTTAGGGGACATGGAACAGTCACTAATGTGGATGACTTATCTACTTGGTAGCTCAATTAGCCACATTATCTAACTGGGTTATGAAAGGTACCTTAGTTTTGGGTGGTGACTTATCCACCTTCAAATTCTATTCTACACAATATCCGCATTTTAGAGTACTCCATGCCATGAAGAGGCAAATGGCTCAGCTCCTTCTTGACAAAGTGAGACACTGTAAACTCAACTAACATCAACACTCTGTTCTGTAACTACAGCAACTATTAGACAATCTTGGCTTTCATGGCTACTGTTAACTCAAGACACTCAAGCTCTCATTAAATTGTAAGTTTGCAAGAAGAATTAAGAGTTTTACATTCAGAGTTTACATTTTGAAATTGGTATGAAAACTATATAAAACATTGGTTAGGCCATAGCTAAAGTAATGTGTCCAGTTCTGAAATCCATATCATATACAAGGAATGTGATTACACTGTCGAGGAGATTTAACAGGATGTTGCTGGGCTGGAAAGTTTTAAGCAGGAACAGAGATTAGGTAAGACTAGTGTTGTTTTCCTTGGCGTGGAGGTGGCTAAGTGGGGACATGATTGAGATGTATAAAATTATGGAGGACATACATAGGGGAAGACAGGAAGAGACTTTTCTCCTTAGTGGAGGGATCAATGACCAGGGAACATAGATTCAAGGAAAAGGAAAGGAGGTTCAGAGGAGATGTGAGGAAATTTATTTTTCACCCAGAGGGTGGTGGGAATCTGGAACTCACTGCATGTAAGGGTGGTAGAGGCAAAAACACTCAAAGCATTTAAGTATTCGAACAAGCAATTGCGATGCCAAGGCAGACAAGGCCAAGCGTTGGAAATTAGAATAATTAGGCACTTATTTTTGACCAGTGAGATTTGATGGGCCAAAGGGCCTTTTTCAATGCGGCACTTATTTTTGACCAGTGAGATTTGATGGGCCAAAGGGCCTTTTTCAATGCTGTACATCTCTATTACTCTAAAAGTTCCAAAATAAACATATTAAAAGGATTTAACTTTATAAAATGTTAATTTGCTTTTCAAGATATGATGGAAGCCAAACTTACAAAAATCTGAGCATCTTCAGTTGTTGGCACAAATCAGGTGGGATTTTGCTTATTCTGGTTCCTGTCAAGGTGCTGAATCATAGAAATATACCAAAATAAATATGTTAGTATGGTATTTCATTGTAACTATACAACTTGGTATGAGCATTCCAGAGAATAAAAAATATTGGTATTTTAGCCTTAAGATCTTTTTGAACAATTTGAGTATCATTTTTAAGATTAGGTCACTGTTCACTTATTAATACTATTTATCTGGATGTGGGAACTCTACAGTGACAAATACACTTTCATTGTCTATGGTAATCTGAACTACTTTTAATTACAATTTCAAAGAGGAAATCAAAATATGCAAATTTCTATTGATGCTGTAAAGTCTTCAAATTAAAAGATTTCATATGACAATATAATTGCATATTATCAAAGACTTATGCACTTAGTCAGATTGTTCCCCGTACCTTTATAACAACTACTTAAATGGAATAGCAGTTTTAAAGTACTGAAATATTCCAAGGTGACGATGAAACACACAAGGAGACATTTGTTCAGAGGACCAAAAGTTTGGTCAAAGAGAGGTTTTACAGAGTATCACAAGGGCGGAAAAAAGTGAGGTAAAGCAATGAGGGAAACATTTTGCAGATTATGGAGCCTAGGGAACTTAATGTGTGACCACCACTGGTGGAGCAATTACAATTGGGTGTGCAGAGGAGGCCAGAACTAGAGGAGTACAGATATCTCAGAGGGCTGTGGTGCCAGAGGTGTTTATAAAGTTACACAGGTTATGGAGGCACCTGAATGGTCTACATCTGTTCTGCTTTTGTAGTCTCAGTATTGCGTCAGATGCACTTGGGTTTTTGGTCAATGGTGATTCCCCAGAATATTGTTGGTCAAGAAATTTTTGGATTTGATTTGATTGATTTATTGTCAAGTACACAAAAGTACAGTGAAAAGCTTTGTTTACTGACAGTACAGGCAGATCATAGGGTGAAAAAAAATTACACAGGCATACAAGTTACATCGCACATGCTAGGCAAGATCAACATTAGTAAGATCAACATTCGCAAGTTCAGCATTATTTGAAGTTAGACAGTCCATTCATCAGATTACTAACAGCAGGGAAGATGCTGTTCTTGAAGCCACTAGTGCGCATGTTCAAGCTTCTGTATCTTTGGGTCTTTGATGATGTTGGCAGCCTTTCCGTAGCAATGGGCCTTGTAAACAGAGTCCATGGATGGAAGGGTGGCTTCTGTGATGGTCTGGGCTGTGCACATCACCTTCTGTAGTTTCTTATGGTCCTGGGCAGAGCAGTTGCCATACCTAGACAGTATGCTTTCAATGGGTGCCTCTGTAAAAGCTGGTGAGGAACTTCATGGACATGCCAAATTTTCTGAGTCGCTTGAAGACTGTTGCATCTACGTGGGAAGGCCAAATCATCACTCGTAGGAACTTGACGCTGTCCACCCCCTCAACCTCAGCACCATTGATGTAGATGGGGGCGTGTTCTCCTCCCTTCTTTCTGAAGTCAATGATCAGCTCTTTAGTTCTGCCAGCATGGAGAGGGGTTGTTCTCATTGCACCATGTCACCAAGCCCTCTTTCTCCTTTCTGTATCCTGTCTTGTCGTTGTTTGATATCCATCCTACCATAGTGGTGTTGTCAGCAAACTTGTAGGTGGTGTTCATTCAGAATTTGGCTACACAGTCATGGGTGTACAGGGAGTACAGTAGGGGGCTGAGAACACATCCTTGGGGGGGGCTTCAGTGTTGATTGTTATCGTGAAGGAGGTGCAGTTGAAGATAGTAAATGTGCTGAACTTTGGAGGAAGTCACGTTCTCTTACTTGTGGATAGTCTTGCATGGCACTTGAATGGTACAAATGCTACTTATCAACCCAAGCTCGAATGTTGTCTTGGCCTTACCACATGGGGACGTACTGACTGATTAGGTGAGCAATTGTGGGTATAATAAACATTGAACAATTATTAGTGAACAATTTTACTCTGACTTCATGTGGAGAGGTAGCTGAATGAAATGCTAGATTAAATGGCAGTTGTCTCCAGTTGTGTAATGTGGACTTCTTTCTCGCATCGTTACTAGTGTCCACCTTCTCACACTCTAAGCAGATATGCAGCTAACATCATGCATGGAGCTGATTATGAGCAAATAATTGTTACATGTGAAGCAGCTTCAACACATTGAAAAAACTGTTAAAGAAAACTCAAGATATACAAGCCCCTACATCAGCATTTGTTAATATTTAAATAAATAGAAACTGTATCTTACAAATGTCCACAGAATGAGAGTTTAGTTAATACAAAACTTATAATCTAATTTTGGCATCAGAGCACACAGTTTACAACATTTAATGTTTCCTTTTTTAAAGGCCTTTTTTGGAGTAATCTGTGATGCTTCATAATTAGCTAACTTTAACCTAAAGAGTGAATGGGATAAAAACAGCATTCAAATTTTCCATAAAAAGTGGATTGTCAACAATCTTTATGATCATTGAGTTTCTCTGTAAGCTTAGCAGGTTTAGAGTGAGCAAATGAGTTAAAATGATGAGAAATGCCAAATACCTAAACTTCAGACTGTGTTCAGTTAACGGATCTTCCTTGATACAGTAATAACACCACAGGCAACCTCAGAACTCCAGCAGAGGAGGAATAAAGATCAAAGATTCCCACTGCTCACTGCCACGCAACAACCTATAAGTATGTGGATGTCTGGTGAGGACAAGATTGTCTTGAGTTGCATTACTTCTGCTAAGTATCTGAAATCTAGTCCAATGATTAGATTTTAAAATGTGCCCTGAAACTGAAAATAAATGTGCTAGCTTTTGATTAGACACTCAGGACTGTACAGGATATCTGCAAAATCTTTCACACTTTACATTTCAGCCCAAATTCTTTACTCCTTTGCTTTTGTATCTAGATTCCTTTGCTGCGTCATCAGTCCCAGTCTTTCAACTCCCAAGTTCTAACCTATGGAATTCCTTTTCTAAGATGCCACAACTCTCCCTTTCTTTAAAAATAATCCCTCTACATTCAAGTTATCATTAAGAGACCAGCCCTTCATAAATCATATCCACGTTTGACATTTATATACTGAATTTTGTACAAATCCAAATTTTATACTTACAGTGACTGGAGTTCAGACAAATTTTGAAAAGCAGAAATCCCCACAGAAGAGATTGGGTTATCATACAGGTGTCTGAAAAATAAGAAACAGGTCAGTTAACCATCAGTATAAGAGTATGGAACAAAAACATAAATGGAAGTTACTTCATGGGGAGAATTCTACTTACATAGTCCGAAGCAAAGGATTCCCACTGAAAGCTTTATCTGGAATTACTGCAATGTTGTTACTGTGGAAACCACTGTACCAAGAAGCAAAACACCGATCAGTTTTAAGCTCATTAAAGTCAAAACAAAATGCCATGCCAAATATTTGACAGTCTCCAATTTCTAGCTGATTACATTTCATAATTTGGACAACCAGTTTTCTCTTGCTTTTGTTTGACAGGTAAAATGAACCAGAAATCTGACAATTTTGTTTAATTCAGTAACATGATCCGTTTTCAACTCTACATTTTGGTTTGATGTTTTAGGTCATAGACTATCAGACAAGCCTATATTAAGGTTCAAGGGCAGTCCTAAAGTAAATCTGAACATAAGAAGGGTCTAGGCCCGAAACGTCAGCCTTCCTGCTCCTCTGATGCTGCTTGGCCTGCTGTGTTCATCCAGCTCTACACCTTGTTATCTCTGAACATAGCACATCAGGTGGTAAAGACGACACAGGGAGTATTTTCCTTAAATCAGATCAGGAACCGAACACAAGAACAGAAATGTAATGCTGGAGCTATAGAAGACACTGTTTAAGCCACAACTGGAGTTTTGTGCACAGTTCTGGGTCATTACATTACAGAAAGGACATCATTGCTCTAGAGAAAGTGCAGAGGAGCTTTCCAGGAATATTGCCAGGGCTTGAAAATTGCAGTTATGCAGAAAAATTGGGTAAGTTAGGGTTGTTATCCCTTGGAATGGATAAGGCCGAGGGTGACTGAGATGTACAAAATAATGAGGAGCTTGGACAGAGCGGACAGTGAAGACCTATTATCCCTAGCAGAGATGTCAATTTCCAGGGGACACAGACTTGTGGTGATTGTTAGAAGGATTAAAGGGCATACGAGAAAATAATCTTTTCACCTAGAGGGTGGTGGGTGTCGGAAATTTGCTGTCCAGTTTGGCAGCTGAAGCAGAAAGCTTCAACTCACTGGAAAGGAACCTGTCGTTACTAGTTTATTCAGTCAGTGCAGACACAGTGGGCTGAATGGTTTCTTTCTGTTCTGCAACTTATCTATGATCTACTAGAGATGGGCAATAAATACTGGCCAAGCCAACAACCCCACATCGCATGAACAAACTTAAAAAACAGGAACTGTTAGATGACAATGTCCACTAATTTGGTTTCTACCAAACTTTTTATTTGCATAGTACACTGAAAACAAAACATTTCTTTTCAGTCTGTGAGAGACATGAAGGAGTTTTCAAAGTTATCTTCAGTCACTTAAAAATTGGATTAGTTAAATTCTTAAATCAGTTATAAATGTAATGCCTAGCACACACTTCAGATTGTTTTAAGTTGTTCAATAGAATCACAAATAAGTTTATTAGTCAGGATCGCAACTTGTGCTTGCTATAAGCTCCATACATTCACACGCAGAGACCAGTTCTCGGCAGGCCAAAGGATCTGATCCAGGCATTACACGTCTTTTGAGGTGAACAAAAATATAGGAAACAAAACTTCTCCCAATGCATTTGCTGTGACAACACTTTGACCAAAGTTAACTTCTCAATCAATCAGCATCCATTTCTCCTGTAGTATAAATTGTTGCTCCCTTTGAAATTTGGCATTTTTGCATCAGTGCTGACAAGTGCACTGTGAATAGCTTTGACAGAATGTCTCTTTTTACACAAATACAAAGAACGTTAAAGCAATTATTTCTTCAAATGATGTTTTAAATACTGCCTATTTGCATTGATTCATGACAGATTTTACATTCAGTCATATGGACGTGAGCTTGAGTGGAAACTTATATGGTGGTTGTGGCAGTAAGATGGCAAGATATTTGATGATCTTTAACTATAATGTTGTGATATTTGTTAGCTCTCGCAACATAGGTATATGAATATGGGTCATGTAGCTCTGAAGGATGTAGTGAACGTTTATCACAGCAGCTGGTATTTAGATATGTACACAGCAAGCTCAGATATAGACAGTCTGGGCTGAAGCTGAGCAATTCAGGTGTATTGCAGCATGCTTCCCTCAGTGTTTCATGCTGCAAGTGAACACTTCTCCAGATGGGAGACAGAGAGCTTTATACATTAGGTAAAGACACCACAAGCATGCTCCTTAAACAAATACTGTAGATCAGCCAGGGGCAGAGGGATAAATCACATTGCAATAATTGCAATTTTGATTACAACTTTTTCCAGAATCATTGAATGGGCTTAAAGTCTACCCTCAGGCACATTTCTCCAATTACTGCATTTTTTTTGTTATTTCCAAAACTTTATGTAACCCTCTTTTACAGATTACTCTTCTTACTAAACTAAATTATTTTTGTTCAGATTTCTGATATCAGTTTTGAATTTGTCAATTTATTTTGCATTTCAATGATAGTTTTCCTAATCTTCTATTATAGTTTTCCAGCCATGATTTTGATAAAATGTCCTGAACAATAGTTTACATATCTCTAATCCTAAAACTTGTGACAGGAAGCTGCATAGGTCCTTTCAGGTACAAGTTAGGAGATTTGTTCTGACAATCACACACATTTTGTATTTAACATGCTAATAGTTGGTCACATTGCAAATACTTGAACAGTCTTATTTTGTTAATATAGCATGGAGTCAAAGCAGCAGTCCAACCAAATTAAGAAAGAAACAATTTTAAAAAGCTATGGAATAAAAATCATGGACAAAAAAGACTGCAGACTATGTAGAACTTTAACGTATTCAGATTACATTCAGCTATAATTATAAGTCAAGATATTTTAATCCAAATATTTGTTATCAATAATTCTATATTTAACATGTGAACTGCAATTAGAAAAAGGGACAGGCAGCCATTGCAAGTTCAATGCATTGTTAAATATTTCTGTAAGTTAATACGATAAGACAAGGTCAAATGTACTGGCAAATACCAGATATTATACATAAGGAAATACAGCTCTATCCCCACCTTATCCTTATCCTCTCCTCCTGCCCTATATTCTGCATGTAAACCAACATTTTCCTAGTTACCACCAGTGCTGAGGAAGGGACACCGGACCCAAAACATTAACTCTCAATTTTTCTTCACAGATGCTGCCGGACCTGCTGAGCTTTTCCAGCTTGGAAAACTTCTGTTTTTGTTGTTAGCGTAATTTAGATTAGTTTCAACAAGGACCACTCAAGATAGGAAGGAGTTTTTTTTTAAAAACACTAAAATTTCATAAGTGCAGCATTCAGGACTTCAGAAACAACACTGAACTCTAATTCAACAAGTAATTTTCCAAGGACTGAAAATAACTGTCAGTGAAGACCACCGAATAGTTTCCATTCAGTAAATAGCTTCAAGCACTAAAAAATAAATACAGAAATTTTAACTCACAGCTCTTTCAGATTCTGAAGAGACTTGATAGCTTCAGGAAACTCCTTCAGATTATTGTAATTCAAGTCCCTAATGAATAAATACATAAGCTAATCAATCAGGCAATAACTTTACTTTTGCAAGCTTTGGGAACAGTAACTAACAAAGAAAGAAGAAAATCACTTGCAGGCAAATTTTCACTGAGACAGACCAAGTATAAAAGTTTAACCTTCAAACAATTGCATATATTCCATGATACACAAATCATCATCCACAGTGCACATTAGATTTACAGTATGCAGACAGTCCATGTACTGTCACAAATGTATTCATTCCATAAGTTTTTTTACACAGTCATAACTGGCTACAAATTTACATTGGTACTTACAAAGATTTTACAAAAATAATCAAACTGAAAACCAGGAAATAAGTATCATTGGGAACATGTAAAATGGTCACTTAAAAAAAAAATCAGACAAGCAAAACTGCTTTGCAGAATACTGAATTCAAAGTACAAATATACATCAAAATACAACTGAAGTGAAAGTAAACCTCTGCAGAAGATGTGGGATGGTATGAAATTTTAAAATTTAGAAACCTAGATATTGCTGCCAATAATTTCATGGGTAGTCGATCCCACCCCTTTCGACATACTACTACTAAAAAGTCTAAAAATCATTAGATAACAAGTTAAGTAGTGAATTTTGATCACTAAAAGAAACAGAAGTAGCTTCAGCAAAATTTGATTATTCAAATCTGCTTGAACCGTAGAGGCGATTCAACTGCAGTTTAATTTCTTATTTAATTAATATGATTCAGACTTAGGCTTAAGTGATAGGTCAAAATTCCAAAGTACAAAAGCAAAAAAAAAATACTTACAGTGTCTCCAGATTGTCAAGCCCATCAAAGCAATGTATGTCTACTTTATCAATTTTATTATTGTGAAGATGTCTGGAGAAAAATGAATGAGGAGAAAAGCAGAAAGGTTTGTGTCAGATGAAAAAAAAAGTTATGCAGTAACAGCATGTTACAAATTACCTTATCACAACCCAGAAAAAAATTCTGAAATGTTCACATGTGCAATAGTTACTTTGACACACAAAGCCTTGTGATGTCGATAAAACCTTCAGCCATTCTGAAATAGGCAAGATTTCATAAACAGCAATTGGCGTCAAGGTCAGTTCTGTTTTTATTTTGTGATGTTAGAAAAATTACTGGCCAGGACACTGCAACTTACTGCTCTTTAAATATTTCCATGGGATTCTTATTAACTATCTGAACCAGACGAACAGAATAACATGGTCATAAAAAGTGCAATACCTGCCACAGTTAGTACTGTAATGGAGTAACCAAACCATGCCAATGCTTAGCACAATTAGTTGTACATATGTACAGAAGTACAAAGTGTGTTAAATATTTTGCAAATATCTATCAGATTAAAGATCATTTTAAAAGTTTTCCATTCATGTGATGTAAAAGTGCATAAATAGAATTGGGTAGCCCATCATAAACTTGGCAACTTTATTTTTTCCAGTGTACAATCCAGCTCTTTCACTTTCAGTCATGATTTGAAATTGTGTTCTATGTTAACCTTTTCTATTTTATATAACGTTATGGTCTACTTTCATTCATGTCATCTTAATACCAGACTTATTAACCCTTTTTACACAAACTTAATCCATTAACTATAGACGTCAGTCTTGCTGAAAAATTAAAATTGATACCCAAGTTAGAAATGTGCAGTACTTCGGTGGGAGGTCATTCATAAAGGGCTTGATTTTTATTCATTAAGGTGTTTAAATGTAATTTAAACATAAACTGCAGTAAACTTCCACCATTTCCCAGAGGGCAAAATTCTCGACTTGCATCAAAGAATTTTAATGCCCATCAATTCTTACCAAGTAACATTAGTGCACACGGCAGAGAACAAATATATGCACTGTCAAGCAACCAGTTTATAAGATATGATTGTTCCTTTTTAAAGGCCTTTGCAGAGCATTTCTCAGCTGGGGTTGTTAGAAATGAACATCTCCACCCTGAATTTGCAAACTATTCCAAACTAGTCATTTGACACAACAACAACAGCAGCAGCTTCTGAGGAAGGGTCACCGGACCTGAAACGTTAACTCTGTTTTTTCCTTCACACATGCTGCCATACCTGCTGAGCTTTTCCAGCAATTTTGGTTTTGTTCCTGATTTACAGCATCCGCAGTTCTTTCGGTTTTTAGTCATTTGACACATTCAGCTTCAGAAGTTTTGTTTTATAAATTCGTTCCAAGGACATTGGTTAGGTTACCCACACCAGCATTTATTGCCCAAATCTAACTGCCCCGCAGAAGGGGATAGTGATCTGCTATCTTGAACTGCTGCAATCCTTAGTGTGTAGAGACATCAGCAGCACAGTCCTGAGCAGAGTCCCTCATTTCCAATTTGTTCAGCTGGGAAACTACACGTGGAAAACAGCTTTTAAATAGTAACAAAAATAGCTTTTAGACCTGGTTACTTAGCAATGCATATATTTATTCCCTGACGTGCATCCTATGCCACAACACATGGCCGCATCTAAAAGCTATCAAAAAAAACTTTTAGTTGTAAACAAATACAGGATTAAACCTTCAGGAGATAATTGGAAGGTTAATGAAGAAATTTCAAGTGTTTATTTACACAATAAGATCTCTAAGGGCGGAAGCTTACTACGCTAGGCACTGCACAAACACAGACATCTACGCCGTAAAGAGCTCCAGCACCACCGAAAACTCGGATGCATGAAATTATCCCAAAGCAAATATACTGTACAAATGAAGAAAATCGAGGAGGGAGTACAAAGATATGACACCATGCAACATGTGTGTTATTTTACTGTTCTTAAGTGATGTTTGAAGGTTAGTTGCAGTTAATAATCTCACCTGAAGCTCTGATTGTGCTACAATCTTTAACCACTTCTTAGCTATTGATTTTATTCTCAAAAAAATGTAAACTACAGGCTATTCTGCATGTAGTATTTCACTATTTTCATCCAATAAACTAGAATATTAACAGTGATTCTGCAGAAAAAAAATGTAGGGTTCTTTTAAAAGAGGCTGGGTTAAAGCAAGTCATAAAGCGACATAAAGACTGTAATGATATACCTCTTTTGTTGCTTGAAAACCATATTTGACTCTTCTACCGGCACTGAAATAAATACAGTTTTAAAATTGCCATGAGAAAGCTACTTACAATACAACAAGACTGGAGAGATTTGCAAAGGCAAAGTTGGGTATGTGTGTAATTTTGTTCAACGCCAGTGTTAGAGCTTGTAGTGAAGGTAGTTTGCTTAGTTGATAGACCGGAACTTCAGTTAGGCTGTTATCATCAAGCCAAAGGTGCCGCAGTTGAACTAGACCCTCAAAGCTGTCTTCAGGAACAGATGTGATGTGGTTTGCATCCAAACGCCTAAGGATTGAAGCATAAAACTATTAGAAAACATGCTCAGCCTTGTTACTTGCACTTGCTGTAATGTCCAATCATTTCCTGCTTATAACAGTACTGTCTCCGTGAAAATCTTTTTCAGTTGTATGAGAAAGACCAGGAAAATTAAACTTCAATTCCATTGCTTATAAAGCATGCCATGCCAGATTATGAGCAGTTCCAACATAGCTAAGCCATCACATTTAGAAATAAATGAGGAAAGTTGATGCAACAACTTTTTTTTTAAACAGAAGCCACCAATGAAAAGTTGCATTGTGGGATCTCAGTTTCATTATAATCAATAAAGTGCTCCACCCTCTCCAAGACTGGGCAATTTGACTCTGAAATCCACTCCCACAAATCTGGAACATGCATCTGCATAGTAAATTAAAATAACTTTTCTCACTTTTAATTTTTAACCCACAGCCCTCTCTTATCTATCATGGCTCGTATTAAAAGGGTTTAATGAAAGCAATTAATTGTCATCAATTATCCTAGAATTAAGAGAACAGAAACTATTTTGCTCCATTATTGAAAATTGATTTTCAGCCACTGTGACTTGAATTATTAAAATAGATACAACTGCAGTGTCAATACAACTACCATCATTCACACAAAATTTTAATGCAATTGGCTTATTTGAATGGATTTGATGAACCTTAAATATCTTATTGCATTCCCTACAAAGCACACTATAGATCCAGAAAAAACACTGGATAGGTGAATATACTGACAACATTAGAACATAGAACAAACACAGAACAGAGAACTGTACAGCTCAGGAACAGGCCCCTCGGCCCACAACGTCGTATCAAACATGACGCCAAATTAAACTAATCCCTTCCGCCTGCTCTTTGCCCATATCCCTCCATTCCTTGCATATTCATGTGCTTATCTAAAAGTCCCTTAAATGCCCCTATTGTATCTGCCTCTAACACCACCCCTGGCAGTTCATTCCAGACTCCTACTACTGTGTTAAAAAAAACTTGTCCCTCACATCTCCTTTGAACCTTCCTCCTCTCACTTTAAATGCATGCCACCTGGATTGAAAGAAAATTTGAGATTCTGCATTGAAAGTTAGGATACAGAAACCGATCATTTTGTTTACCAAATGTGCATTTACGTTTTTCACCACACATCCCCTCTAATGTTCTCCCTTTCGGGCAACTACTTGGTTTCCATTTAAATGTATCAATGGGATCGGATTTCACAAATGCTAACCACCTTCTGTAGAAAGATGCTTTTTATGACCTTCAATTCTGCATGATTACATCTTCAATTGTCATGCTTATCTGTGAAATAGACTTATCAGTGACAGATTGCATATTCAGTTTATTTATGAAAGAAAGGATTTAAATTGTGTATGTTCTTCGTTGCCGAATTATTCAAAGGTCTCACCAATCCATCAGAGTAAATCTAACATTTTCCATATCTTTCAAGAGTAGGCTGTAAAGAATTAACGTACTCAAGCAATTTTGCTTGTATCAAATTATTGTAAAGGCCATAACTGCTCAATATTTATTCCACAAGTAACTACATGGCACAGATCAGATCTAGGGGTGATCATCATCGGATGAAAATCCTGGAACTCCTCGCTTAACAGCACAATGAGAATATTTTTTACCACAGACTGCAGTGGGTCAGGATGGTGGCTTAACGCCACCATTTCAAGATCAGTTGGAGTGGGTAATAAATGCCAACCTTGCCAACAATGCCCACATCCTATGAAAAATTTAATAAAATAAGGCCATGAAAATAGTGAAGTGGTGGGATGTATTTGTTGTAGGAAGTGCCAAGTAAGTAAATAATAGTGGACAGGGTTATGGTCTGCAATCTTAGCCCCATTACTGAGTATCCTGATATTCACTGTAAATAGTAGTCAGGCAGGATAAGGGCTTCCATATTCTAAGGAAGCATGCCTAATGAGGCATTCATGTTTTGAGGAAAGGAGGACAGGTGAAAAGTAAATGAAAATTAAAGATTACAAAAGAAAGTCTAGATGAATAGACCTACACTTCTATAGAAAATCTGTACAACACAAGTCATTTTCTAGACCCACATGAACAAAATCATAGCATGCTAAAAACCAAATCTGAACAAAAGAAACCAAATGAACTGTTTGATAACACAGCTCTGTTGAATGATGGCTGGAAGCTACCCGTCTACCTTGTTGACTGAATTCCTTCCCCCGCCCTGAAGATCAAAGACATTGTTTCCATTGCCTGGATTGGATCTGGCAGAAAAGTACGAACAAATACTTATGCCTTTCCTTTGCAAACACTTTGAACAGGCACGCAACATGAGGAAATTAAACTGATTTGATGGGGTGCAGGAAAAGGGGAATCTTTCAGTTGGTTACTTCAATAGATGAACCTTTAAGCCAGACTTTACGAACATAAAAGAAACAGCAGTCCCCACGTGCCTCACAAGTAATGTACTCAGTAGTACACAACCAACAGTGGCTCTGCAAGTAGGCTTCTTGCCTTCAAGTCAAATTCAAGTTGCATTCTAGAGACTTGAACACAGAAATCAAGGCTGACATTACAATGCAGCACGAAGGGAAAATTGTGTTGGCGATGGTGCCACCTTTCAGAGAAGGTAATAAACTGAGGATCCATCGGTGCTCTCTCAACTAGGCATTAAAGAACTATACATTTTAAAGAAAAGCAGGAGTTATTCCTGGTGTTCTAATCCATATTTATCTACCGATCAAAATACAAAAATCCTCTGTCTATTACTACATTGCCATTGGTGGCAGCTTGTCAGCGGTGCTGTCTCTCTGAGAAGCCTATTCCTTCTTACGGAAGTAGAAGATTCTCTGACACTGTTTCCCCTAGTGTCCTGCAAATATTTCGTCCTGAACAGCTATCAAAAAAAAAACAGATCGTCTGGTCACATCATTGTTTACAGAACTTTGCCTTGTGCAACTTGCCTGCTGTACATCCTAAATTACAAAAAATACTCAACTCCAAAAATTACTCGAGGACGACTGAGGCTGTGAAAAAAACATTGTTAAACTTCAGATAATAACAAGGTGTAGAGCTGGATGAACACAGCAGGCCAAGCAGCATCAGAGGAGCAGGAAGGCTGACGTTTCAGGCCTAGACCCTTCTTCAGAAATGGGGGAGGGGAAGGGGGTTCTGAAATAAATAGGGAGAGAAGGGGAGGCGGATAGAAGATGGATACAGGAGAAGATAGGTGGAGAGGAAACAGACAGGTCGAAGAGGCGGGGATGGAGCCAGTAAAGGTGAGTGTAGGTGGGGAGTTAGGGAGGAGATAGCTCAGTCCAGGGAGGACGGACAGGTCAAGGGGGCGGGATGAAGTTAGTAGGTAGGAGATGGGGGTGGGGCTTGAGGTGGGAGGAGGGGATAGGTGGGAGGAAGGACAGGTTAGAGAGGCGGGGACGAGCTGGGCTGGTTTTTGGATGCAGTCGGGGGAGGGGAGATTTTGAAGCTTGTGAAGTCCACAATGATACCATTGGGCTGCAGGGTTCCCAAGCGGAATATAAGTTGCTGTTCCTGCAACCTTCAGGTAGCATCGTTGTGGCATTGCAGGAGGCCCAGGATGGACATGTCATCTGAGGAATGGGACATACAGATGGCCTAAGGGCCCTCCGCTTCTTCCTGTCCTGCAGGCCCGACCAGTCCCCCTCCACTGATACCCTCATCCGCTTAGCCGAACTCGTCCTCACACTCAACAACTTCTCTTTCAATTCCTCCCACTTCCTACAGACAAAGGGGGTAGCCATGGGTACCCGCATGGGCCCAAGCTACGCCTGCCTCTTTGTAGGTTACGTGGAACAATCCCTCTTCCGTACCTACACCGGCCCTAAACCCCACCTCTTCCTCCGTTACATTGATGACTGTATCGGCGCCACCTCGTGCTCCCACGAGGAGCTCGAACAGTTCATACACTTCACTAACACCTTCCACCCCAACCTTAAGTTTACCTGGACCATCTCTAATACATCTCTCCTTCCTGGACCTCTCTGTCTCCACCTCTGGCAACCACATAGAAACCGATATCTATTTCAAGCCCACCGACTCCCACAGCCACCTAGAATACACCTCCTCCCACCCACCTTCCTGCAAAAATGCCATCCCCTATTCCCAATTCCTTCGCTTCCGCCGCATCTGCTCCCAGATTCCACTCCCATACATCTCAGATGTCCTCGTTTCTCAAGGACCGCAATTTCCCCCCCTCAGTGGTCAAGAACGCCCTCACCATGTCTCCTGCATTTCCCGCAACTCATCCCTCACACCCCCTCCCCGCAATAACAACCAAAACAGAATCCCCCTCGTCCTCACGTACCACCCCACCAACCTCCGGATCCAATGCATCATCCTTCGACACTTCCGCCATCTGCAATCCGACCCCACAACCAAAGACATTTTTCCCTCCCCACCCTTATCTGCTTTCCAGAGGGACCACTCTCTCTGGGACTCCCTTGTCCGCTCCACACTCCCCTCCAGCCCCACCACACCCGGCACTTTTCCCTGCAACCGCAGGAAGTGCTACAACTGCCCCTACACCTCCCCCCTCACCCCCATCCCAGGCCCCAAGAAGACTTTCCACATCAAGCAGATGATCACCTGCACATCTGCTAATGTGGTATACTGCATCCACTGTTCCCGTTGTGGCGTCCTCTACATCGGGGAAACCAAGTGGAGGCTTGGGGACTGCTTTGCAGAACACCTACGCTCGGTTTGCACTAAACAACTGCACCTCCCAGTCACGAACCATTTCAACTCCCCCTCCCATTCCTCAGACGACATGTCCATCCTGGGCCTCCTGCAGTGCCACAATGATGCCACCTGATGGTTGCAGGAACAGCAACTTATATTCCGCTTGGGAACCCTGCAGCCCAATGGTATCAATGTGGACTTCACAAGCTTCAAAATCTCCCCTCCCCCTACCACATCCCAAACCAGCCCAGCTCGTCCCCGCCTCCCTAACCTGTTCTTCCTCCCACCTATCCCCTCCTC